CATATATATATATATATATATATATATATATATATATATATATAAAGAAATATAGTCTTAAGGTGTGCTATATTTATGGGATAAAGTGCTCAATATCAGATATATATATATATATATATATATATATATATATATATATATATATACTAGTTGTAATCTTGTAAATATAAGAAATTACACTCGTCCGGAAATCTTAAGTGCCTCGATTTGTGAATAAACAAACCAACACCAAAGGGAAAAAAAATGGTAAAAAAAGAAAGAACAGAGAACATATACGTTAGCATTCAAGTTCAAAGTCAAAGAAAAAAACGGTACGAGTAAGAAAATTATCTAAATAAATAAAGTGTTCGATACGCTATGTAGAGCAAACCTAAGTTAAACCACAACCTACCATGGCTTCACCTTAGCGGATCGTCAGGTGAAACCGTGGTAGGTTGTCTATATATATATATATATATATATATATATATATATATATATATATCCCATTTAATGACCCTCCATCATGAGTGATTGTTGGTCCTTGTATTTGATGAAATATAGAACAAATATTGTTGAAATAGATTTTGAGATATACATTTATTATTTGAGAAATAGATACAAAGCTTTAAAACATGTCTAGCGAGAATTTCACTCAAAGCTAAATGAAGAACCCGGCTTATCACTCTGGCTAAAAGATCAGTCAGGCTTAACACTGACGCTAAAAATGAGCCCGACTTAACACTGGAACTAAAAGATCACCCATCTTAACACTGGTGCTAAAACATGACCCCAGCATAACAATTGTGCTTAGTCGCCGATATGCGAACTGTACTTTTAATGGTGATACTCATTTTGAATAACTGATACCCAATCAAGTGTAATGCCGATCAACCGTCACTGACTTTTTAGTTTTTTCCAATACAAACAATAAGGTTAAAACAATATATCTAAGATTGTAGAGATCAAGTTCTCATTCTTGTTTTCCTCACTGACAGCCATTCAACAAGCGTCTATAAGTGGATCCCCACTTTTGCCGAATAGTAATTTATATATTCCTGTAATTGTTGCAATGTTGTTTTCTACGGAATGTATATTTATAAGCACAGAATAATTTTTGCTTCATATTTTTAGACGAAGAATTGTTAATGTACTTTGATTTCTTCAAACGTTTCTTCTGATCTTTGATTGTTATAGATATCATTATAGACAACGTTTCAGCCAAGTATCCTCTAGCCATCTTCAGGTGTTATTTTGGTTGATATGTCGGATCTTATATGAGCTGATCATGTGGCGCTGTAACGCGAATTTTCTGAAGACTGACGTTGCATCTCTCTGATCATAGCTCAATTAGGACTCATTTAAACACACATGGAAACCCATCAAACGGCATCCGCAAAACACTCGTAGAAAATACAACTATAATAGTCTCATCCACATACCAGAAAATATTTTTTGTCAGAGATACTAAAAATACGGGATATTTAATTAAAAGTGATAAAAACATAAACAAAAAAAAGAAAGTAAATTAAATCGGCTTGACTATATATCTAAACAAATATTTTAAAAACTTAATTTAAATTTAAAATTTCAGCATCCCCTATCCTTCATGCGCTTGTGTACGTAAACGTATCAACGTAAACATCACTTAGTCCAATGAGGAGCGTTCGGTATAAGCAGTAAATTCGACCTTGCCTACCGAACGCTCCTTTGTGGCCGAGTCGGTTAAGGCACGTCAGCGTAAATGACGGTTCCGTATAGGATGCAGGTTCGAATCCTGTCAAAGGACGAATATTTTCTATGAAGTTTTCTCGGACATTCAGGCCGGTAAATGTTATTTAATACTGTTTATTATAAACAGAGCATTTACTTAAATACTTGTATCTATAAAAAGAATGTTAAACATAAAAATGTCTTTAACATATATATATATATGTGTGTGGGTGTGTGTGTGTACGATCTTCCGTCTCAAGAGGGTTATTACTGGGCTGGCGCATCAACAGTTGGCCCCGGGGGCAAAAAGCCAACTAAGTCTACAAGAAAATTCCTAGATGAACAAAAACTGAGATACATATCAATGTTTGTCAGACAAAGACACTTGCAAAGGATAATGCTTGGAGCATTGAGACAGAAACAAACTCAAGATCAAAGATCGGCGATACTGGCACGTTCAGTAGTGCTGTAGAACAGAGATTTTACACACACACACACACACACTCAATTCGTATCTATACAGACAAGGTTAATATTAGGCAAATGTGAACTCCATATGTAGGCTGATATCAAGCCAGTGACAAAATGTTGAGTAAATATTAAGAGAAATTATTTTGAAAATGTGTGAATTATAGTGCAGGAATATATATATATATATATATATATATATATATATATATATATATATATATATAAGTTATGAAGAATTTGGTAAACCGAATTGGTAAATCCAAGGAGGATGAAATCCTGAGAGCTCAATGTAAAGAACAGAGCCAATATTTAATGAACAACAGACACTTTAAGCTACCATCACAATAATTTATTTCATCAAAATCCTTTTTAAAGGATTTCGGATCATCAGGTAACACTTCCAACAATGAAGTGACGGTGTTGATAGCAAAATATTTTACAATCAACACCATCACTTGATAAGAGACCAGAAGTGTTGAAACAAAATGGCTATTTTTTGTAATGATTTTATAACATATTTATGTTATAACTTTCGAATAAATAATTATATATATATATATATATATATATATATATATATATATATATATATATATATAGCAGTCTGAGTCGTTCCTCGATTTTCACGCCTTCACAGGATAGCGTAAAATTAAAATAACCACTCGGCCTGTCCTTTGTTAGGTGTTGACGTCGTGAAGAGTTCTTTGACCAGATAATCTGGATATTGAGCAGCTTACTTTTCTGAGTTGGTAGGTGTTTGCCTTTTGCTCTATCTTTTTTTTCTTTCCTTGTTCCAGAAAATTCTGATATTTTTCATTTTTGTCTTGTTTTTCATTGGCTAAGTTGAGCTCACATGTATTTGTCTTGTCAGGTATCGTTCGTGTGTATAATTCTTGTGTGATTGTGTATCATAATTCAAATTGGTCTATGAGGAATTTGGTTGATCATGCGTGTACGTGTGAGTGTATGCGTTTGTGCGTTATTTCTGCTTGCTAGTGTCTGTATGTTGAATGGAAGATATTTTGCATAATAGTGAAATAATGCAAGTTACACCGGTTGTGGTTGAAGGTATATATACATATATATATATATATATATATATATATATATATATATATATATATATATATATATATGTATGTATGTATGTTTGTGTTTGTGTTTGTGAAACCATTCATGAATATTCATCATGTGATTGAATGGTCAGTAAAAACATGTGGAGGACCCAAAGTGCCACAATTCAAAGTCTGGTAAACAAAAGTAAGCAAGTAGTATTCAAGAAATTGTTTTGATAAATAAATATTGTATAAATTGAGATCAGGTTGTTATTTTTTGTGATGGGCTTATGTGCTATATATCTTCAAAAACATAAGGCAACGAATTCAATCGTTTTGATTTGATTTTTTTAACATTTTTGTAGACTTGGCTTGGGTATATATTAATTCTTTAAGGAAAGATAAATTTGGAAAGAAACTGGGAAGTAGATTTATATTTTGATAAGATTCCATAACGGCACCCTTGAGTATTTCAACCTCTGAGTAAATTACTTCTTTCTCTTTTGACTAGTGTGGCAATTTTTAGATCAAAATTGTGGTTAGATTTATTTCTGTGTATGACCAGTGCGTTTAATAAATTTCTTGAATATTACTCGCTTACTTTTGTCTTATCGAACTTTGTATTATGGCCCATTATGTACACGACATGTTTTGACTGACCTTTCAACAAACTGATGAATATTCATGAACGTTCTCAAATTGAAAAACCTTTATAAGCCAATGATATACTTGCCCTGGTATATAAACACTAACAACAAAATACATCCTACATTCGCAATGATAAAGTCCCTCACAGAACGAAAAGCGAATAGTTTTCCATTTCACTTGTCTTTTTATTCATTTTGTTCCTTTACAGATACACCCTCTCAGAAAATTATATATATATATATATATATAAAATAACTAAAAAGTTGCAAATTAAAAAAATAATGTTTTTTATGAAAGTATTTATTTATATTTGATATATATATATATATATATATATATATATATATATATATATATATATATATTTGATATATATTTATATTTGATATATCAAATATCAAATATAAATAAATACTTTCAAAAAAAAAATTATTTTTTAATTTGCAATTTTTAGTTGTCTTTTTCTATATATACATATTAAGAAAGTATACGTGGCTTCTCATTATGCTATATATATATATATATATATATATATATATATATATATATATATATGAGAGCGAGAGTTGAGTGGAGAGAGAGAAAGGCAGGTGCAAAGGTGGATGCGTAGATAGACATTAACAGGTTCAAGTAGAAAGAAAGGAAAAAGAAGAAAGCCAGATAGATAGATAGATAGATAATGATCAGGCTGAGATAGATAGATAGATAGATAGATAGATAGATAGATAGATAGATAGATAGATAGATAGATAGATAATGATCAGGCTGAGATAGATAGATAGATAGATAGATAGATAGATAGATAGATAGATAGATAGATAGATAGATAGATAGATAGATAGAGTTTTTTATGTTTTTGGAGAAACGTTATTTCCTTGTCTGTTCCTTAAGTGGCAATGATTAAACTTTGTGTGAAACCTTTCATAAAATCTGTATCATTATCCTTGTGGTACAAAAACTCACAAATGTAAGAGAAAATCTCTCCAAAAATAAGAACATTTCTATCAGAGCCTCGAGTAAAGCGGCTGGTATTATGATGAATAGATAGATAGATAGATAGATGAAGAAAAGTGTGACAAATTATAACGCGAAATATTATATAACCCAATAGATAGGAAACGTGGAAGAGAATGGATGAGAGAAAAGCGTACGAGAGTTAAAAAATCAGGTAGTAACAGATTTGACATTCTATATGAAGAAAAACTTTCAGGATTTGTACTTTAAGTGGCTATCTCCATTTCCTCAAAGCCGTGTTAACTGGTTAAGGAAAAAAAACCTTGATCAACTACTTAAGCGGTACGCGTCCTTTGCAACCGAATTCTTGGGACGTGGCTTTCTATTCTGTTATCAATACGCGACGCTGATATTAAGTGTTTCGATACGCTGTCATAAAAATTGCTGTCTCAGATTCAATCAATACAATGACATCTTTTTACTGTTGTACAAGTTGTTGTCAACTTCAACCTTGAACAAATAAATCGATTAACCTAACCCGCTTCCCGGTGAATCTATCTATCTATCTATCTATCTATCTATCTATCTATCTATCTATCTATCTATATTAATATCTATTTGTTCATCTACCTCACTGCGTTCTCTTCTTTCTTTATTTCTTTCTTTCTAGGTATATATTTCTCTCTCTCTCTCTCTCTCTCTCTCTCTCTCTCTCTCTCTCTCTCCATCTATTTTAATATCTATGTATCTCACTCAATATATATTTGTTCATCTATCTCACTTGGTTTTTTCTTTCTTTTTTCCTCCCTTCTTGATATATTTCTGTCACATTAGGTGTATCTATCTATCTATCTATCTATCTATCTATCTATCTATCTATCACTATTTGCTCCTCTATCCCACACGATTCCCTTCTTTCTTTCTTTCTTTCTCATTATGCGTCTATTTCACTCTCACTCCCACTCTCTATCTATCTATCTATCTATCTATCTATCTATCTATCTATCTATCTTACCCTATTAATATTTATTTGTTCATCTACCTCACTGCGTTCCCTTCTTTCTTATTAGGTATCTCTTTCTTTCTTTCTCTCTCTCTCTCTCTCTCTCCATCTATCTAAATATCTATCTCACTCAATATATATTTGTTCATCTATCTCACTTAGTATTTTTTCTTTCTTTTGTCCTTCCTTCTTAATATATTTCTGTCTCATTAGGTGTCTTTATCTATCTATCTATCTATCTATCTATCTATCTATCTATCTATCTATCTATTTCACTCTATTAATATATATTTGTCATTACATTATCACGTTTTGTTTTTTGTTTTTTTGTTGTCTTTTTTCTCTTCCTAACTTCTTGCTATGTGTCAATCCCATTAGGTGCCTTTATTTCTCTCTTTCTCTCTCTCTATTTATCTATCTATCTATCTATCAACATATATATATATATATATATATATATATATATATATATATTAAACGTTTCACCCCAAGCAAGGTGGGAAGCCACTATCACACAAGGGGTTACAGAGAATTGGAGTGCGTCCAAATAGGAGTGATAGAAGAAAGGATGAAGAGAAGGATAGGGGGGATAGATAAAGGCATCCTATTGTGTCGTCTGCCTGATTTATGTGTAGTCTTTTTTTTTGCTGCTTTCTGACCCCTTCCCTTAACAGTACAGTCACCATTTAGGTTCTTTGCTGATTTTTTTTTAACCCCGTGAGGGGAGTTATCCACGTTGTTTTTTTGGGTTTTTTTAATTAAATTATTTGGCTTTATTTTTTTTTCGTGACATTTTAAGGTTGGCGTGTTACGGCTATGGATATATAAAACTAAACACCTCTTCTTTCATTTGCTTTCTAGTTCTCTGGGGATCGCGAGGGAGTAAAACTCGAGTAACGACTCGGGCTGCCTTTTTATAGTAGTTAACGTTGTGAAGCGTTTTGCTCTGTATAGATAATCTAAGCGTTTACTGAGTAGACAGGTGTTTGCCTTTAGGTAATTTTTGGGTTTCTTATTTTGAGTTTTTCTCTTAAAGTGCTATGGCTTTTGGCATCTTTGTTGGCTTTTCTTTAACATATATATATATATATATATATATATATATATATATATAAACAATTCAGCCCAAGCAAGGCGGGAGTGCCACTATCACGCAGGGGGTTACAGAGGATTGAAAACAAGAGTAAAGAGCCTGAAGTGTCGCATATGACACAAACATAAAAACTGAATAAAGATGTTGGATCCTTATACGATGAAATCGACGGGAGAGTCCATTGTTTATATACAGGGTTCGATGGATAATTCTCTTCAAAATTACGCAAAAATGAAAATAACACTGACATCTCATTCTAACAGATATATTTACCAAAATTACATAAAAAATATCTTGAAATACTAAATAGTAAGTTTACTCAATAAAATCGCCATTGGCTTCAGCCACGGCCTCTAGGCGACTTCGGAATTTTCTGCAAATCTGCTGGACGGTCTATTTGCTTAAGTTTGTGAATGCTGCCATAATTCTTGCCTTCACACCAGACACTCGTTAGAGTTTCTACAGTTACACTTGTTGATATTATATGCGTTTGCAGCATTGGAATGGCAATTATTACTCGGGTTTTTGTATTGATTTAAAATTTTATTCTGCTTTTTAATATTTTTCCCAGATTATTTGCACCGAAATTGTAGTGAGTGTCCATTACAAAACAGATGTTAAACAGACACTCTTGTTTACCTAAGCACTATTTCTACTATAGAAAATCCAACAGCTAAAAAAATTATATCGGGAGTACCAAGAATTTATTTAAAAATAGGTGGTACCAACATATATTATATTTCACCAATAACGCGTATAGAAATAGGTCACTCTTTCTAAATATATTTGGAAGTTAAAAGATAATAAAACCCCTGCGCTAAAATGGAAAATATTTTTTTTAAAAACTAGAAATTGTAAGTCTTTAAAAGAAACCTGCTTCTTATGTTTACATGAAAAATTACAAACAATCAAATTTTCTGACTAAAAATCCCTGTTAAAACAAAGGAGTTAATTAACTGTAAATTGCCGACACAGTACCGAAAATTGAAACCCAGACAGTTACGGTGTCAGGCAAACGCCATACCAACTGTACCAATGGGCCTCGGTGACGAAGAGGTAACGAATTAGACTGGGTATAGTGTCGCTCGATCTACAAAGTTGATTTTGACGTATTAGGGCCAAACAGTTCAATTTAGGACAGAACCGTTACACCAGTCAAATAGATGATTTAATTATTGTAATGTAGGTTTGTATAGAACCAGAGCTTTCAACCTCCTAGACTTGCGATCATCCAAGGGTTTAGAATCCTATCTGCCCTGATTTTTTTTACAAATAGAATCAGTTATGTGACATGAGAGATACACGATACATGACTGACGAGGCAGATTTTTTTTTCTCGCAGCAGGTTGCCATTTCTGTCTGCGGTAGACCAGTTGCTGCTATTTACTCATAACTGGAGGGAGAAGAAGAGGATTCATGCCTTTCCCAAGGGTATTAACACGTAAGCGAATGTAATGGATTCGACTGGAATTTGAACTCTGCTTTCTGATTCCTCAATCCGAAGTGCTATTCAAATAGAATACGGAAGAAATAAATGGGATTCGACTCCAGAGGTAGTCTGACAAATAATTGCTGGTAAACCGAAAGAAACCATAGGTCTGAACTGGTGAAACTGAAAGAATCCATTGGTACAAAATTGTTGCGAAATCTAAAACTGACAATGCCGATTTAAACAAATGATAATGGAAGAAGAAAAATTGAACATAGAAACGGTTTAAAATAAGTTATCGGGAAATGATAGCGTTTTCATTGTATCTGATCCACTGCATAGATAGATAAACAATAAATGCTGGTGTTTAAAAACAGGAACGAACATGTTACTATATGTACAAGATTATAAGGATTAACGAAGAGTAGTGTAGAAACCCGGATGCATCGAAAACCACTAAAAGTTACTCCGGCAACTATTGGCAATCGTCAAAAGGCAACAGACAAACTAATGTTTACTCTTCAAAATATAAAACTTGCAAAAGCTACAGACGGCATAGGAAAAGACATTTTATAAGATGCAAGTGAACAATTCCACAAATGATTAGCATAGATATGTATTGATATAAAACAAATGTACATCAAAACTTCAGTCTAAACGTAGTAATTATACAAAAATGTAATTGCCCTTCCTGTTCATATAGAAAACAATTCTCAAAAGTACTTACAAACGCATCAAGAAATACTCTGGACGCAAATCACCCACATAATGGAGAAGATTATGAAATTTTTCATTCAACACTATACAATAGACCAAGCGATTGAAAAAGAAAAGCAACAGTAGATTTAGTACGAAAAGGCAGTTGACTAAGTGGAACACTTGGTATTTTTAACTCACTATGAGAACAGTCTATTAATGAAAACGCTATATTTTAGAGAATATATACTACAGTAATGTAATAAATCGGCAAAATTGAACTAATAAATTTTTTTTTCCTATTTTTTTTTTTTTAAATTGGATCCCGGAAATATAAAAGGCAAAATGTTGTAAAAGAAGTGAAACAATACGCGCACACACATGCATATATATATATATATATATATATATATATATATATATATATATATATATATATATAACCAAGTATATAATTGGTGTATAGGGAATGAATTCCAATAACCAACAATAATTTTTTCTGAAAAGAATACTCAATAGAAAGTAGAGCAGATATAATTATTTTTTTTTAAATTTATAACATAAATATGTTATAAAATCACAACAAAAATAGCCATTTTGTTTCAAAACCCTCGGTGTCTTATCAAGTGATCACTTGATAAGACACCGAGGGTGTTGAAACAAAATGGTTATTTTTGTAGTGATTTATAACATATTTATGTTATAAAAAAAAAAATATATATATATATATATATATATATATATATATATATATATATATATATATATTGTATTTAGTATACTCGCGTCCTTACAGTTTCCTTTTATAGGAGGGGGATAAGAATGCATAGAAACTGTCCATAGCGTATTCGGCTAATTTTTATACATTTTCAAGATTTGTTTACTAGTATATTTTTCTATGCTTGCATTCTATACTGTGCTGTATAAGAATAGTAGCAATTTCATGATGAGGTGCCTTGCCAACTGTTCAGACCTACACATAAAATTGCTTGCTTTGAAACCAACCGAAATGTACTAACTGTACGAGCACTAGAAAAAACAAAAAAAAGCAAGCATTACATATACCTAAGATTGGTAGTAAGTTGTGGAGAGCCATGATTGCCTACGTCATGAAGAAATACACGATACAGAAGAAGGTTTTTCTGCATGTCAATTTATTTGGGTTTAATTTTAAATTAAGTTCGGAAGGAGGAGACTTTTTGCAAAACTTTTCTGTCTATTTCACCTCTTTTCCAAATGCTGGTATTTGGGGCGCATGCGCTAAAATAAAGAGGTAGTGGTGTCTGATTTTTCAAAAATTTTGCGGAGCGTTTTATATATTGAGATAAGGCGAGAAAGAACATTTAATGATCATCAATGTTATTTTTCTTTATTATTGATCCTTTTTATACATTTCTCTCACACTCTACAATAATAGAATTCTGAAAAGAGATACTGAGACAGGCAATCATAATTTTTTTTTTTGTACAATGGCGTTCACCCTATACAAGATCCAAGTGCCACTCGAAGTAAAGGGTTACAGAGAAATGGGCACAGATTGTGGTGATATGTAGGGAAGATAACGGTTGACCCTAGATTTGAACAGATTAAGATTTTAATAATCGAGGAAGCATCTTTTGGAGTTGGTTGCACAAAGCAGTGGTTCGTGGGAAGAGGCCGCTCAAGTAGAACTTACATCTCGCCTATGAAATACGAGGGGAACGTGAGTGGTTCATTACAATGTGCATGGTATGGCGGGTCTAAGCCGTGAAGGTTAGAATTAGTGAAACTGAGGGATGTAGTTCGTCTGAGCACTTTCCATGCAAATAGCGCGAAACCAGTGAAAGGCTTGCGAAGTTTTATCTGCGGGAAAGTGGATGTAAGATGGAAAATAATTCGTCACCCACAAAGCCGCGAAGACTGGAAAGTGAAGACTGGGCAGGTTCGGTTCATATATGGCAACCGTATTCCATTTTCGGCCTGACTGGATCTTTTAAACTTAGCAGAAACATACATAAATAGCGTCGCGGCTATCTGCGCGGAATGTGGAATCAGTGTGCCGGGTTCAAATTCCAGCCGCGTTCACTTTGCTTTTG